TGGATTCTCAATGAAACCCATCATCACAGACAGTTGCAGAAGAGTGTCATATATGGGTACATACATATGTAGTATATCCATGTCCAACCAAAAGAAATAATATTCAACCCATGGGGAATAACGAGTAAATTAGATCCCACGAAATCCTAATCCTCGCCGTAATTTGTCCCCAACCCGATAATTGTACAGCCGTAACTTCTGCGTTATAAACTAACTTGCCTTCTATTGCTTCCCCAGAGTAAGTCGGAGAAAATTTTTATTTAAGACATTTCGAGACAGTGATTGAAATGATGACTAAATGTGGGACAGAGAGTCGATTGTGATATAGGTGCGAAATTGTTTCATGTGATTAGGAACATGATTTACACAAGTTAAATTCTTCACGGATGAGATTTACGGTGTAGAAATAGTGAACTTTTTATTCAGTTTGTACGGCCATTTTGTGGCAAGAGAAACTTCTGGGTACAACCGGTAGCCGATACCAAAACTAATAGTTTCGCCGAGAATTACCGATATGAGATTGCACCTGGGCACATTCCTGAGCAACTACGCATACGTTTGTGAGTATACTTCATTCGGCGAAGCAGAAGGATCCCATGATTATTCGTCCACGTGAATTGATCAGGGTTCACGCATACGGGAAGTGAGGGAAACCTAAAAAGGAAGTGTATCACAGCTTGTAGGCTAACTGAATGCCACAAATTTTCCCCTAATGAATAACTGTCTGTCCTGCCAGAGGCTCTTTACCGCCATGTTTCGTCCAGAAATAGACAATAACGACGTTTACTGCTACAGATGAAGGCTATGTACAACAAGCAATGGTTGGTGCGGCTACAGTATTAAGTAAAAGCCAGTTAAAATGCATCTTTTGCCACATTGGCATAATCTCATGACTATATGTTACTAAGAAGAAACCAATTTTATCAATGCAATTAAATCACAACGTGATCGTCAAATATCCCCTAATATATTATTTTTGACCAAAATTTCCAGACTAAGGCTGGACGACGTCGACGCCCATCTACAAAAATAGGAGTGTCATTGGCTGACTCGCCCGATACGGATTCAACCAGCGACGTAACCAAACCGGTTGCACTCTCACTCGCCCGTTTTCTGGGTATCCATTTAAACAATAAACAGTCTGACGTAGGAAATCGAATGGGCATTGCAATTATCATTCTAGGGACACCATTCTCCGGAAAGACAAGTGAGTTCTGCACTAGTTTTTTACATTTTTTCTTCTAATAACCTGTAAACGAATTGAAATAGCCCAATAAGATGCGGAGTTATAACTTGTTTTTATGCCGTTACCAGTTTTCCATAAGGCACAAGGTTTTAGCGAAGCTTGGCTTTAGAAATGAAAGGGATTTTTAAAGTCTTAAATTCTAGCGAGGCGGACATTACCAACCTTACGTGATGGCATTTATAAATGCGCGATAATTGTTTCTCTTTGTATTACGAGTCAAGACTTTACAGCCGGTCGGATAGCCGAGAGAAATCTGCACTTGAGAAACATTAATGATAATGCCTAGTCAACCGAATTGATGATCTCTGCCCTTTTAACCAATTTACTGAGCCCTCCGCTGGGGTAGGGAATACCTCAGGTGGCCTATAGTTAAATTTTCGGTTTCTTAAGCCAAGGGTTGGGGCATGACTGACTGACACGTCTCAGTCACCCTTGTAAGTGTCAATAATAATTATCACTATCAATTAGTTGTCTGGTGTACTGATTTTGAGTACCAGCCAAAAGACATGTCCAAACACGTGTTCAGCGTTCTACTTCCTGAATAGCCGCTAGATGTCCTCATTATGAGTCAAACTAAGTCGAGTCGAAGGTTAAGCAGTCTAGCAGCCAATAGTCTGTGTTCGAAAGAACACTTCAGGTATGATCAGCAAAAAGGCGCTTGAACCACAATAAACTTGTCATGTTACTTAAAACAAACGGAAACCAATCAACGGCCACTCGAATCGCTTATCTACGATTGTTCCCCTGTAACCGCAAGGTAGCGAGTACAGACACGACTACTCAATGACGGCTCACCATCGTCATGTCACAGTGAGGTCGTCGAGCTTGGCAAATTTTGTTAAGATAATTTTTGTACCAGATAACAACCTTCTCTACCCTGAAAGCACTACTGCTGTTGGTCAGTGACTGCTTATTTTTGAGGACCAAGAGCTGACTAATTTTACAGGTCGGCTCACCATGGGCGACCCGTGGACGCATCAAATAGTCAGTAGTTGGGATAACGAGTTAGCCCATCTTCTCGGATCCTAGTCTGCCGGCATCTGCAGCTAGGGTGTGAGTGACTTATGACGGAAGCTGGACTAAATATTATTTTTCTATTTTTGCGAAAATTCCCATTGTAAATATCAAAAGACAAATTGGCGAAGATACGTTTGATTTCAATAGATTGTCTTCAGGCCCCTACATTTATACGGTAATGAAATAAATAAACGATGCTTGTTAGTGGAAAGACGAAGTGTTGTTGTTGTTGTCAGGGCTGGTGGGTAGTGGGGGGAACTGAGGTCAAAAAGTTAGTGTCTTGGTGTATGGGCGGCCAAGACAGATGA